TCCGATCATATTCTGAAAAATAGTTGATGCATGCACCTTGTCAGCTCTTCATCGCCATGTTTGAATAGTTCTGCCGGTGGTCCGTCAGCTGTACGTAAAGACCTTGAAATCCTGTCGCACAGGTTTCGTAGGCCGCGTTGCTGATGAGTGCTCTCAGAGACCAGGAGTGCAGGTCGAGTAGAAAACTGTTTGGCAGTCTGTTGTGATTACATCTTCTCGACGTCGCACTTTCATTGTGTCTGTTGACGGGCATTGCTTGCTGCACAGAGGCGCATGCGAATCTTCGCACAACAAGATAATGCTCCGGGTCAATGTTGGGTCCTCGGAGTGTACGCTCGTCAAGAACACTGGAGACTTATCTTTCGCAGCTGCTTGCATTATATTTTGTTTACGAGGTTATCGCGGACTGTTTCACAAACAACCGCAACCTAGAAAACGCTTTTCACTGATATCCCTGAACCAAAAGCCTGTGTAGAGGCCAATGAAAGTATTCTCTGTTGATTATATCAGATTAAACAGATTAAAAGCTCAATTCTTTGTACCTAACTATGCTCTGATATTTTTCTCAGCTATTTAGCTTTGCTTTGACGATGTATTTAAAAAAACAATTACCTCAAGTTCATTCGAGTTGAAGCAAAACTCCGTTTAATACACTTTCCAGAGTTCCTGCATCAAATCACAAAGAGTTTTTTGGCACAAGTCCTTATCAGCTATGGCAATATCAGCCTCATAAGCAATGAATCTCTTCTATTCTAGTTGTTCCGTCGAGCGAAAAAAGAAGACTGCGAGAGAGTACCCCATATAAAGATACTTCTCTGCTGATCAGTGGACAGCACCCTTTTTCAACAGTTTGAGAGCAGAAATTTACTATAGTTCCATTCAGTGATTCAACAGCGAAGAAAAGAATTATACACAGCAGATTCTTTGCCGTGTAAACCTCAACTTAAGAACTACAGAATGTCATATAACGGTGCACAAATTTCCAGAAGGAACTTTTTTTCGATAATGAACTATTTTCAGATATTTAATACAACCTTAATGCCTTTGAAACTGAGCTTCAATATTTAGCAGGTGCGAGTCCTTTCAATTGAAGAATAACAACAACAATAAATATGCATATGTTTTCTAAAATCCACTAAAACTATATGAAAATGTTAGAGTAATAAGCAGAAGAGGAAAATCAATTGTAGTTCAAGGGTTGCTGAATATCCTGCAGGATTTCAGTAGAATCAAAAATGGTTGTTGCAAAAATAAGCGCCGACTTTTCCGATGTTTTCGCATTTTAATTTTCCCCACCCTTTTTCGGAAAGAAAAATCTATGACTTGACACTGACATTAAGCCTATTCCGCCGCTTAAATAGAACAAAAAGAGAAACAGAAAAAAAACAACAACAATGGAAACTCTGGCAACCCTTAGTGCCATGAAAAATGCAAGAATAACAAAAAAGCGCAAAAAAGTAGTAAAAAAATGTTTTCACTAAAATTTCGCATGAAATCGCGCGTAATTTGGCCGACGACCGGACGGGCGAACGCGTGCATTTGACAGGTGGAGACAAGTGGACAGGTTTTAAGTGTGACAAACTAAGCGAATGCAAGGCATGTAGACTCTTATGAATGTATTGTACATACATATGTATGTACATTCAATCACTTGCTTAGGTTATATGTATCGTAAATAGATATGTACATATACATATGTATATGTTTCTCTCTCTCTCTCTAAGCGCGCATTTATGTCCTTTTTTTAGCGATTTACAAACAATTGTCGTTTTAGTTGCTGTTGTGTTTGTTTTCGTTTTTGTTTTTGTTCTTGCTTAAGTGACGTACTGCAATTTGGTTAGTCATGTATTTAACGGTTATGTTACTAAAGTACTTGCACTTTGAGTGCTTGCACAGGTGAATTGAAATTGAAAATTGCTCGCGCAATTATTCGCAAACACGCAAGTCCTTTTTACTCATATGCACTTTTTCTACATACACACACACATACATTCTCACATACACACCCTCGCACATTAGTAAATATTTTGCGAATGCATTATGCACTGGCTAAATTGAATAGTTAATAAATATTAAAGTGTCGAAGTTTAAGGTTATGTTGATAAGATACACGTAGGCAGCTAAAGGGGTTTCGAATTTGGTGCGCTTATTTTTGATTATTTTGTATTATGTTGATTTATTTTTTTTCTTTTTGTAACGGTAAAAATTATTATTTTTTAATGAAAATTAAATTTTTCCAGTAATTTTTTTTTTGTAAACACCTTTTAGGCGTGTGGTTTCCAATGAGATAGTACTGTTTTCGTAGTGGATCCGTTACTCTACTTTTACCCAGCTTTGTTTGTCGTTCCAACGTTCGCCAATTTCGCAAATTTATCGCCAAAATATCGGTTCGGTTAGCGCAACGCTCCGTCCAATATTCGATCGATACAATCGCATAGGAGAGTCGGTGATTCGAGCTATCACGGATCGGCTTCACACCACACTTACTCTGGTGAATAAAGCGCATCCACAGAGACATTATGCAGTACACATCGAAGGTGTTATTGCTGCTGTGGTGCAAAGTAACAAAGAAGACCCGAATGAGTCCATCCGCATCGCGCACAACAACTGGAGCTGTGCACATTCATTTTATGGAAGATTTTGCGAAAGGTTCTTGGTTTGTGGCCCTACAATATCCAACTCGTGCAAGAATTGAAGTCGTACAACCATTAGCTGCGTCCCACGTTCGGTGAAGAGGCCCAGAACGAGAAGAGAAACGATCACTACTTTTGCCAAAAAAAAAAAATTCATGCAAGGAATCACACTTATGGTTGAATGGATACGTTAATAGGTAAAATAGTGGTACTTGGAGTGATGATAATACACAAAATATTATTGAGAAGCCGTTACTTACCCAAAAAGAGTCTCTGTTTGGTATTCTCTATAAGCATGCCTTCAAAAATGAAGACGACAATGTTGCTACAGTTCATATGGATCGCTAAAGAGCCATGATTAATGACCTTTGGTTTCAACAAGATGTCGCTACATGCCACCACAGCCAACGAAATAATCAATTTATTGCAGAAACCTTTCGGTTAACCAGTTGGCTGTCTAAGCAGATGAGTTCAAGACGATTGACGCCTTGAAAGAGAATATTCGGCGCGTTAATGCTTACATTCGTCTTGAATTGCTACGAAAAATGGACGAAAATTGGACCACCGTCTAGAATTTTGGTCGATCCAGCCATGGCTGTCACTTGCCCGAAAAATCTTTTGTAATACATTGGCAAACCGTTATCTTTGTCATAAAGCTTAATTCTGGACAACAACATTGAATTATATCCATTTTATTTCTACATGAAACACAAATGTCTAAATAAGCACCCTGTACTTTTCAGTCTCAAATGTAAGCGTAACTTTTTTATACAGAAAATTGCTTTATAGACTGTTTTGAGCAGGAATGATAGGAATCTTGCTAAAAATGTGAAACTCGTTTGAGAAACATCCATTCATGGGTTGTCAGCAGACTCTGTTAGAGGTCTAATGAAAATTTCTTTCTGGAAGGAACGGCATTGATGAATACTATTTCGACTTATCTCATCAATTAGCCGATGTGGGCAAGCCAATTTGGGAGTAGGGCAAATTTTGTACGTCAAGACGACGCGTCGCCCGATATCTCAAAGAACGATCTCTAAGTTCGTGCTCGCTTCGTGTGCTGCCACAAATAATTTTTCTTCCACTTGTCGATTTTTCAGTTCTAAAGTCACACTGATAAGGTTCCATCAGTTCGTTGCCTCCATAAGGTCTTATATGCTATATTAAAGAAGCTTTTCTCACTATAATTAAAAAAAGTTTGTGAGCTTTTGGTTTATCCGCTTAGTCCAATTTTGGCATACTCTCCCGAACATTTCGGCCATACCGGCTCACGAATAAATGCTCTCCTCCAATGCCTCAATCGAAGCAGACAATAGATTTAACATTACCCCACAATAAATAGTCTAGAGGCGTTAAATGTCAGTATCTAGGCAGCTAATTAACCGGTCCCGAACGTGAAATAAAATGTTCACCGAATTCGCCTCTCAATAAGTCCATTGTTACGCGTGCTGTGTGGCATGTGGCACCGTCTTGTTGGCTCCAAATGTCTTGCAAATAAAGCTCTTGCATTTTGGGCAAGAAAAAGTTTGCTATCATCTCCCGGCAGCGCTCACCATTAACAGTTACGTTACTATTCGCATCATCTTTGAAGATGCCACGAGCCCATAAACCGCACCAAGCTGTGACATTTTCTGGATGCATTGATAGTTCTTGCAATGCTTTTAGCTGATCTTCACTTCAAAATCGACAATTATGCCCATTAAGCCAAAAAAGAGCTTCGTCACTGAAAATGAGCTTCGCGCGATGAACTTTCTTAACAGAGCAAGCATTTTGATAATAAAATTCATTAATTTGCAAGCGTTGTTGGTTTGTAAGACGATTCATGGTTAGATTACAGACCAAACTGAAGATGTTTGACAGTGACATAAAACACGAAACGTGCGTCAGCTGTTTTAACCAGTGTTGTCATAAAGAAAATAACTAAAAGATCACCCTTTACAAGCAATTTGCTGTTCAGACATCTTAATTATTGGTAATCCTACTTCTGTTCCATCGCCATCGATTGAGCACTCACCCTGCCGATTGTTTCCCTTTCACTGCCGTTCAGCAGGCTGGAGTGCGTTTACATATATGTACTTATACATAATCTTATATAGAAAGAGATGTTTTTGTAATAATAATATACACACAAAGCAAAGTCATTAATCATTTCGAATTGAGATGAATATTTTTATTAAATAAATATGAGACAATGTTTAATTGAAATCATTTACTTCTCATAAGCACACAAGTGATTATTAACATAATAATTAAGCAATCGCAAATGCCTGTATGCATACTTAAAATACTTAAAAACATATATGTAAGTATGTTTGTATGTATGTAATATATAACTATCTATTAATATGATTAATTCTCCTCACTTACCTGTAGGAACATATCACCGTCGAGTAGGCCATGCTCAAAAGCGCCCAATTCTCGCGTTCGATAGCCATCATGTGCGTGTGTGTGTATGTGTGGCAACATGCCATTCTCCTCCTTATCCTTATGCATAACAACTGAAATAAGAATTATAATGAAGAATCAAACGAATGGAAAAAAATATACTTATTGATTGAATAGTTGGATTCTGAGAAATAAGTTCTGCAGTAAGCCATATAAGATTAAGAGAATATTTGAAAAAAAAAACTATACAAAATTGATTTTCAGTAAAACATATCTACTAATATGTATGTAGAGGTAGGCAGTTACAATTTTCATATATCCTTAAAGAAATGACTGATAACGGAGCCCAAGAATTAGATGCACAAATACGAGTATTGAAAAAAAATATCCTAGATGAGTGTGTTACCGTCCGCTTTTGGGTCAACCTCACGCGATATGAAATGACGATGAACCTTGTCAATGCAGAAAGGAAAATAGGCAGAGATCAGAACGAAGCTTAGATGATGCAAGATTTAAAACAAACAGAGCAAAGTAGCACCTCAAAGAAGCACGAGCACCAGTCACAGGTTTTGGGAAGTAATCTTTGGTACAAAACGTAAGGCTATTATTTGGCAAAAACCAAGCCTTTCTTATCACAGGTCAGGTGATTTGGTTCCCATTGAAGGATCGATGAACAAGAGACAATGTTATTGTTGTTGTTGTTGTAAGCGCAAAATAATCCCCAAAGTACTCCTTGGCTGGGTAAAAGTGCGGATTGTTCCGGTATAAAGACACGACCATGCACTTAAGTCGTCTCTTACAACGGGCATGACTTACCATGGGAACAATGCTTAAGAGCGCTTAACGATAGATATTCACCAAGATTTCGGGTTCAAAAGTTGTAAAAAATTCATTTAAATAATAAATGGTTGAGTTAATTTTGCTCGCTCCGGTCACTTCTCGGCGAATGTCAACTACTCCGAGTGTATTTCTGTCATGAGAAAGGGTCGTTGGCCCCCCATTTGTGAGCAAAACATCAAACGCTCGCTACAAACTGGAAGTGGAGCTCGGCTGAAATTCGCTTCAGTGTTTACAAAGCGACATATGTATATGTATGTAAAAACTTTCATATTTGTATCTTTCGAAATTAACAGGAAGAAATTGTTTAAATTTTTTTTAAATTTGTATGAGAAAATTTTAATAAATAAAAAACAAATTACGTTCTATGAACACAATGAAAAAGTTAAGAACCAAATACATAATTTTGATTTTGCCAATTGTCGTGTAGGTTTGGTCTAGTAAAAAGTAATTCATAATGTTTTCAATTGATAGTTTTAGTGATCTGTGCGATGGCATAAGAAAAATGATATTTTGTACTAAGAGAGATAACGAGAGAAGTGTCGGTATATCTTTTGCGCACAGGGTAGCCTTGGATCCTAGAAATGATATGCAATTGGTTTTAAAGTGACGAAAAGAAAATATTTCAAATAGCTGAACTTTTTATTTTTCTACAGCTTCTGTTGTTGTTGTAACCGCAAAAATATTCCCCAAAGCACTTTTTTGGGAATGCTGCGGAAGTGACAGTCCTTGGCCGGATAAAAATCCGTGTAGTTCCGGCATAAAGACCCGACTGTCGCGAGAACTATTGGATTTTAGTCGTCCATTACCGCGGGTAAATTCTTGAGCCCCTAATCCGCACGAGCTCCAGCTCCTCAGAGTGTGTGATGAGTACAATGAAATCTTCAAATCACATTTTTCAAACTGGGAGGACAGATTATTCGGAATCTATTACACAGGTTTATCTGAAATTTGAATGGGTGCTTCACAAATACATTTTTTTTTGGAACTACATAGACGATTTTCGTTTGATTCTAATCTTTTTTTTAATAATTTGGTGGGTATGTTTTCGTCAATCAATCAATCAATCTTTAAAAAAAAGTTTGCAGCTTCACAGAAATTAGTTCCAAAATAAGTTCTTACATACTTCCAAAGACCATAGTTTGTAGATCTTAAAAATTTTTGTTTCTCTGTTCTAGGTCTCATTCTTTAGAAAAACTCAGTCCTCCCATAGACGCCTTTCAAAAAAACATGGATAAAACAATGGACTTTATCACCGCCATTTTATATCCAAATAATAATTTAAGAATATTTTTTTATGCTTCAGTAAATAGTCCAATATAATTGAAATGGTTAAATAGAAATTCTATACCTTTTCTTCATATTTCTACAATAAGTTTATGAAAATGAGTCTATTTTTCAATCTACCCCTTAGCTCAGCAGTGTTTGAACGCATGTCAAAGCTGGAATCCAGCAGAGAGAAAATATGCTAAATTCCACTATTTTTTCTTCGATAAAGTCGAAAACGCAAGTCAGACAGCTGAAAGTGTTTACGGTCCTGATACTGTAAAAATCAATGCATAATTGGGGTTTTGATCTAAAAGTTGTTCCACGAAAATTTGTCGAAAATTTCGATAAAACAATGTCAATACGCGGGTCTAACCGTCATGTGAGAACTGTGAAAAGCTCAAGGTTGCACATAAAAGAGCTTGAAACCACTAGATAAAGGCTCGATCGATGGGTACCCCATGAGTTGATGAGAGAAAACCCTCATGGGCAAAATTCACTTCTGCGACGCGCTGCTGAATCCTAAAACACTTGTCGCGTTTCTGAAGCGTTTAGTAATCCGTGATGAAAAGTGAATATAAGGAAATCTAATTTTTAATTGTTTCGTTAATTTCAAAGTGATGAGTAATTTAATTTAAAAAAAATCCTTTTTAAAATATGGTGCTTTACAATAAAAGGTGTTATTTTGATTAGCTTGTTATTCGGGTAGATATCACTTTTGGAGTTGCAGTTTTTTGACATTTCACAAGTAAAATTCAATCGCCTCTAATGAAAGGGAAGCGGCACACACTTCAAGAATGCACTGAAATGACTAAAATTAACTATAAAATTGGTGAAAATCTGGCAGAGACGGTTTGTAAAACTAAATCCTTCTTCGCTCGTTGTGAAGCACCTTGTCGAACTGCAATACAATACAGAAATTGTTGGAAAAATTGAGCTGTTAGGAGAAGTTGGTGATGTGAGGAATGGAACATTCTCAGGTCGCCCAAGAACAACTGGAATTTTTCGGTTTTGATCTAGACGGCGCTGCGTGCCACAACAGCAACAAAATCATCGATTTTTTAAGGGAAAAGTTTCCGATCATTTATCTTAAGAAACGCCATTTTACTTTGAATACCCAAATAACAACACTTATTGGAAAAGCCTGTATTATTCCGTAAAGGTTTGCTAGAATATAACAGCGACTATATTTATGTACAAATAACAAATTGGTTATAATTCATAATAAATATTAGAAATTTATTACATAGAATACTGAAATTAATTGCTTTTTTTAGTCACTTGGATCAAAGAAAAACTTTAATATCAGTAAAAAAAGGAGAGGGACATGGACTCTTGCTCTTGCTTTTTTCTTGTGACACCGTAAAAATTTTTTCTATGTAAACTAAATATCAAAAAGCAGGCAAACCGAAGGAAAGCCCGCTTAATATAAAAAAGAGACTAAAACATAAAGGAAAATATTGTTATATATGTTCATTTGAATAGACGAAGTGTTGCTTATGCAAAATGGCAGAGTAATAAAGAATATGGTCTTAAAATGAAAAAAAAAGAAAAAATGAAATAAATGGAAAATTTATTGTTTATATAAAAACACCAAATTTTTATGGTGTCAATTGTACGAAATATTTTTTTGTTATTTAATAATTCATAAATATTTTTACTTGAGCTTTTTTTTTTTACTCACCCTTACCAAGCACAAGTGGTGGGTAGGGCCACAAAGTTTATAGTTTTAGTTGAATTATTTTTATTGTTTTTTTTTTGTTTTTTTTTGTTTTTTGTTTTCTGGTTTTTTTTATTTACTTTTTACCACGATATCATAAATATTTCCACTGCATTACGACATTTGATTAAATTGCTGCGACAAATTCTTTATGTTCAAGAAAAAAAAGCATAAAGAACGCCAAGTAAATTGTAACTGTTTTAGGGGCAAGAATTGTTGGAAACAAATTTTTTTTTTTTTTTTTTTTTTGTAGAGAAAATTATATGAGAATGCGGTAACTAACTAACTTAACTAACAAACTCACATGTAGTGGAGTGGGAGTTATAAAATAGCTTACCTGCGACATTTATAATAAATTTGTCATAAAAATTGATTTATATGCCGATCGAGCGATAAAACAAATAAAAATGGAGTCGCCTGAGAAGAAGAGCGCAGAACTGAAAGAACACGGTGCACCCACCCCATAAAAGTGGCACAAAATTGTGTGGAGTAAAATGGAGATTAAAAGAAAGTACACTAGCGCAAGGGTGGAAATGCAAAGGGGCTGCCAGTGATATGAGCAAAGAGGAAAGCTGCAATATGGCATACGGAGAAGGAGACTTTCCAATAAAACTTAGCAAATTCCATTTTTTCGTATACAAAATAAACTTAACATGTTATCAGTTACTTACTACACATTTCGTTTGTTATATTGGAAATTCTGGCACAAATTCTTTTGGTTTATTGTTGACAAACATACAGACTCAAGCAAATGCCTACTTGGGTTTTGTACAAATAAATTTGATATTACTCGAGGTATGTTTTTCAGCAATTTTTATTCATATAATTAGGGTTACATATAACTTAGGGTATATCAGTTTTGAAATCGCAACGGTTCCTTGAACGAGCATAAAAATAGTTAGGATTTACGCAAGTATTTCGATAAACTGATTAAGGTTTCAAAATATTAGCAACAAAAAATGTTTCTTTTCGCAAAATTTTATACACCTTTTTGTTATTGTTAATCAGAAAAGAAACTAAATAGGGCAGGACAAAAAAATTTAAAAATTTGAAAAATGTCATAGTGTAAATGTTTTTTTTTATCTCTATCAATTTTATTTTTTAAATATGATTTTACGTTAAGTTTTATTTTTATAATTTTTTATTCATTTTTTTCTCTCGTAATGTAGGGTTATTTGCATATCAAATTCTTCATGAAAATTTATATGTAAATAAGCCAAATGAATAAAATCCTAAATATTTTGAAAATTTGAGATATATGTATGTATGGAAATCTGAGGGCTGGCTATG